AGTGAGTGAGTGAGTGAGTGAGTGAGTGAGTGAGTGAGTGAGGGCCTTTGAGTCATTGTTGACTCCTGGCAACTACCTGGACTAGTCCCTGCAGTTTTCTTTGCAAGATTTCAGAAGTGGTTTGCCATTGCCTGCTTCCTAGGGCTGAGAGAGAGAGTGACTGGCCCAAGGTCACCCAGTTGGCTTTGTGCCTAAGGCAGGACTAGAACACACAGTCTCCCAGTTTCTAGTCCAGTGTCTTAACCACTACATCAAACTGGTTCTCTTTTGATGATCTAGAGAGTCCTAAATATGCTGGACTTTTTCATATAGATGTCCAAACCCCCTGATCATTTTGATTGCCCACTTCTGCAATTTTTTCAACTTTGCTATATCTCTTTTGAAATATTCTAGTATTTTAGTTGCAGACAAATCATAAATTTATAATAGAGGCATTTTTATTTTCAATCCCCTTTTTAAAGTGATCCTTGGCATGGAATTTGCATTCTTCATAGATCCTGCACACTAAGTTGATATCTTCATTGAGATATCCCCCTCTGACCCTGATATTTTTTCCTGATTAGTTACAGACAGCTTAGAATTCATCAGTATATATGCAGAATTAGTGTTTTTTGCCCCGGTGTGCAATATCACTGAGAGACTCCACTTCTTACTTCTCTCCATTGAGAAAATTGTTCATTTATTTCTCCTCTTTCCTTTTTAAAAAGCCAATTAGTAATTCATAAAAGGTCAGGTCTTCTTAATGCCCTGAATGCTACATTTATTCAAAAGTCTTTGATGAGGAATGTTGTCAAAAGCTTATTAAAAATCCAAGTAAGTATACAGTGTTGAGGAGGTCATTTCCATATGCATGTCTGCTGGCACTCCCAGCAAACTGTAAAAGTTTGGTGAGGGGATTTACCTTTGTGGAATCCATGTTGATTTTCTTTTGGCAAACTTTGTTCCTTTATGTGCCTAGGTATTAGTATTTTTTATTACCTTTTATATCAGTTTGCCTGAATCAGAAATTATACTGACTCACCTATAATTTCCAAAATCTCTCTTAGATCTCCTTTTAAAAAGTCTCATTATTTATCTTTGAGTCTTCTGGTCCTGAGTTGGATCTCAGGGACAAGTTGCATGTTTTTGCTAGGAGCTCAGTAATTTCATGTTTGAGTTTGAAAAGAACTCTTGAGTCCTTGTCACTAGGACACAGTGATTTGTTAACGGTTGTTTCTCAAGTTGTCCTAGAATATCTTCTCTTGTTACCTTAATTTGCTTTTCTTGCTCAGATTCCCTTCCTGGAAATATCAAGATTTGGGACAATCTTGTTTAATAAACGAAGACACTTGTATCTGAATTGGAACACTGTCCTGCATCGGACGAAAAGTAATGAGGCCCCTGGGTTGAGCTTGGTTCCTGGTGACTGGATATTTCCTTGTCAATGCAGTGGAAGTGATTTGCGACTGCTCCCTTCTGGAATAGTTTTTGTTTGTTTTAATTTCCCAGTCTAGGCAACACCCTTGCTCAGCTCCCACAATCAGGCAAGGTTGGTTAGGTGCTACCATTTGTGTCTCGTACTGTTTTATAATATACCTGCAACTGACCTCTCTATTTCTTCTCATGACCCCACTCACCTTGGGTTTTGTTTTGTTTGCTTTGAGCTGGCATTCAAATACATGTTGGGAGCAAATGAAAGGACTCTTTGCTCTTAAACCCATACTGCAAGGTGCAGAAAGTCAACTGACTAAGAACTGAGCCACAGCAGCAGATAGGTATCAGACAAATATGAACCATGTTGGTCTCTCCTCTTCTCCCTCATTACAAACATCAGTCATAAATACCAGCAAGAAGCCAGGAAAATCAGGTTATGTTTTTATATACTATTGCTTAACTGAGTGGCATTGACAATGAGATGGACCTTGAAAGAGAAAGATGCAAACTTGGGGTTGCCTAGCACAGCTCCTGTGATGTCAACTGAGGCCAGATTGAACTACAGGGCAGCAGATGTAATACTCCACTATTACAGTGATTGAAGTAGAGTGCCTGCTTTTTGCCAACAGGAAGCCTATCAACATGTGTGAGGAGCGTTTATGCTTAATGACAAACTTACAATGATGCTGAACAAGTGGTACTCACAACTGGTCCTTGCAATTACAATGTTGCAGCATCCTGTGGTCACGTGGTTGCCATTTGTAATTTTCTTTGTCAGCTTCTGACAAGCAAAGTCAATGAGGAAGCTGGCAGGAGGTTACAAATGGTGACCACGTGACGTTGAGCTTAATGATGTTGTGGGATTCGCCTAGCAATGGCAACTGGAAGTGCCGGAAGTGCTGTTGCTAAGTGGTGTGGTCACATGCCATCACACTTTATGACCATGTCACTTAATGACAGAAATTCCAATCCCAGTTACTGTTGTTAAGTGAGGACAACCTATAAGGCCTCTTATATTTTGTACACCTACACCAATCTCTGCATTCGCTCATTATGCTTGTTATGTCAGAAACTACTGAAGCCTTTCAGTGGTTTATAATAAAATACATTGATAATGCTGCTCATCAACCATTGAATTATTCAGTGGTTTTTTTGACCACCCCCCTCTTTGTGAAAGCTCTGCCCCAGCATAACCTTATTGTAAAGAAAGCCCTGAAACAGATACTGTAATGATATCCATGTCAAGAAATTGCGGTATTATAGGCTGCTTTTGCAGTTAGTGAACATTGCTTTTCTGATTCATGTATGTTTTTTTCTGTTCCTTTCAAGGTATGCAGTAAGGAAGGCAAGCATTGTACAGTCTGTTAAAACTATGTAAGATTATTGTCTAGTGAGATTCACTGTGAATTTCAAAGCAACATTTGGCAAGCAGGGAAGAATATATGGTGTGTTTTGGCTAGGAGATGCTTATTTTGTTTTTCTCTTCTGATTACTTCATTTCTGGAACCTCATTTCTGAATTTATTTGCAGTTGGCATTGACCGACTGAGATTTGCCAGTCTCTGTTAAAATGTTTTATGATGTGTGAGAATGGAATAGTTCTTGAAATAAACACTATCCTGCCTTTCCTGTTTCAAAGTTGTAGCTGCCAGAAATGTTCCATTTGATCATACAAGAGGACTAGGAACGTGGTCATAATTGTTAATGCATTACAGTTACTAAGCAAGAGATCAGTTAGAATTGGTTAGGCTTTATATAAGTATTTAGTGACAAAGGCTTGCGACTATAACTCTCATTATGGTTTTGATCAACAATTTGAACAACTGCTCAATTCAGTTTGGACTGATTTGGAGGTCACTTGATTTGATTCAGTCTAAAACTCAAACTTAGGGCAGCTCTGAGACTTGGGGGTTCTCCTGAATTCATGGCTCCTGCAAGAGTAACAAGTGGAGGCCATGGCAGCCTTTGCACAACTAATTGCTGGCCTTTCTACACCAAGAAAAAATGACTCATGTCGTAATTGCCATGCAACTAGAGGTATTCATTACTACTGTAATGCAATCTATATGGGATTGCCTTTGTAGATGATTTGGAAACTCCAGTGAATCCAAAATTCTGTGGCCTGGCTGCTAACCGGTACAAGTAGGCTTAGTAGTATCATACCAGTGTTTCTGTAGCTGCATTGATTACTGGTAGGTTTCTGGATCTAGTTCAAACAAGTGCTGCTGAATTATAAAGATCTACATGGCTCAGCCTCCATGTACTTACAATACCATTGTCCAAATTAGATACTGCCTTTTGTTGAGCTCTTCTTGGGAGAAGATGCTGAGAGACTTCACTGCACATGAAGTCTTCTTGATGGCTATCCCCAGCATGGGAGTTTGTGAAATCCCCCAACCTGTTAGTCTTTCAGAAGTCCATGAAGACCATTATTTTTTCAGTGAATATTTGGTGATTAATGGTGGATATTTTGATAGGAACTATTTTTGTAAGTGTAAATGAATTTAGAGATGACCTTGGGATGAAATACCTCTAAGGAGGGACTTGGAGAAGCAGTTTCGTAGCTGCAGAAGCAAGCATGAGAAATCAACTCAGAATAACTCTGTCCTGATTGTGTTAGTAGAAAAGGGGACAGAAAGAAAATTGGACAAGCTTTTATGATTATATAGTTCAATAACAATAAACTAACATTCCTGGAATATGTGTGGGGTCCATTTTTTGATCTAGCCTATCTTGAAGGGCTGACAGTAAGATTGGATTTTATTGTAATTTTATGGGATTAGATTATTTATGAGGGAATTTGTTTGTTTGGTGTGTGTTGATATAATTGTAAATTGCCTAGAGTCTTTCAAGTGGACATTATAGAAATTATTGCATAAATAAATATAACTGGGGCAACCCATTTGATGCCAAATGACCAGGTAAATGATTTGTCCTGATTTGTGCCAAACTAAGCCAAGCATGTCGTGCTCACATGCCCAAGCTTCTTTTTCCACCATGAATAGGAAAATTGCTGGGGTGTGGATATGGTGAATGCAGGCAATTGACAGATGCAGAAGAATTTTGGAGTCTAACATTTAACAACACAGATATCAGCTCATAAAAACTGAACTTAAAAATTAATCGCTTCAACTAGAACGGAAGTGGGGTATGTAAGTGTCAGGGTCATACTGGGTATATGTGAAAGGAGTGGTCATTCTTCTAACTTATCACTTGAGACTAAGACCATAAGGATTTGAAAAAACAAATAAACAACAAGAATTACATTATAGGAAAGGACTTGACTGGGAAAGATTGAGGACATATTACATAATGGTTTTATGTTAAATGAAAGCTTTAGGAGGAATACATAAGCTATAAACGACCTCCATAGCCTCCAACAGACCTCATTTAAGATTCCTACTCTTGAGAGAAATGGCAAAGGGCTCTGAAAATGAGTCTGATTTTGTGATACTTTATTTTAATAATCCTATCCCAAAGCACTGTGATTAGATAGCCCTGGTAAAACTCAAAAAGTTCAGGCTTTGATTATGTCGTTTTCTCCCCTTTCCTTTGCAGATATTGATGAATGTGTTGATGGGACTGACAACTGCCATATTGATGCCATCTGCCAGAACACTCCGAAGTCATACAAATGCATCTGCAAATCTGGTTACACGGGGGATGGGAAGCACTGCAAAGGTAGGCAGAGCAGATGGCACATAAAAGAAAAGATGGAAGGGAAATCCAGCTATACTTACTTGCACATTTATGTTGCAAAATGGAAAAGAAACACAAATTGGGTTTTGAGGAGTTTTTATTAGCTAGGTGTTGGCTGCAGTACTGTTGGTATCTCTTACAAATGTGTAAGACATTTGGGACAATCATGGTCAGAATAAGGGCTATTCTAGATTTTTTTTAAAAAAAAGTTTATTTAAAAATATTTATTTGGTTATGTAAATGTATTATTTCCCCATTTTCTCTCTTTTCTTTGGAAAACCCATCCCTCTTTGATGGAGCACTCAGCCAGTCTCCATTTAAACACAGACTAGGCAGTACCGTGCTTGATTTTAACTAGGTATCCTGAGATAATTTTCTCTCTGTGCTCCATAGGAGTGGCTGCATTACTTAATGCAGCTGAGGGAGCAAGAGGAATGGTTTACTGGAATTAATTAATTAAATGACTTTGTAAGAACTAGTTCCAACCACTGGGTATAAGTAAGAGTTTAGGATACAATATATGGGAATATGGATCAATTTCAACAATATAAAATATTCCTTTCAGAGATTTAATTGTGAATGGTTTTGTCTTTATTGAACTGGGGTATAATTTGTTAAATAAATCATTAAAAGTATTGTTAGTGTAATATACTGGAACATTCTACCTAAGATCCTCTAATTTTAGGATAGATTTGAATGAAAGTTGAGCCCCTTTGGGTGAAAGGTGATGGGAACACCTACTATGGCTCCCCCCTATTTTCCCTTGTTGAAGCAATGGCAACTATAACCTATGTGGGACTCAAGATTTCACAGGCTTCACAATTCTGTAGAAGGTTGAAATTGTGTTCGGCTGAAGTCTGTTATCCTCTCATTACAGGTTTTCTTCACCAGTATGAGGGAAGCGGGTGCATCCCGGTTGTCCTCAATTTAGTCCTTTTATAAATACTTGATAAAAGCTTTGTGAATTGGTTCTGATGTTCTCCCAGGTCACACATTTTCTCTTTTCTTTGTCCAGATGTTGATGAATGTGAGCGTGATGACAATGCTGGCTGTGTTCATGAATGTGTCAATATTCCAGGGAATTATCGATGTACCTGCTATGATGGCTTTCATCTTGCCCATGATGGTCATAACTGTCTTGGTAAGAAATCTACATATTGCTAAAATGCTTATTTTTAAATGTTATAACTTTACGGGTTTTTTTTAAAGTCATGTTATACTTACTATATAGCTGCATATTATATCCTAATACTAAATTCTTCCAGTTAATTGGAAGCTGCCCTTTCTGATTTAGTGAATTGGGTAAAATAGAAGTACGTCCTTATGTAGTCAGTCTCACCATGATTATATAGAAAGAATCCTGTGTTGTCTAAAATAGATAATGGCAGTGGCCTCTCATATGTGGAAAATATCTACTGTAAGCACACTCTCTTAGAATCCCACATTCCTTGTTCTGTTCATATTGTTTTGTGTATCTCTAGTATAAAAAGTAGAGTAAGCCTGTACTGTGGTTTGAATGCTTTTCTGATTCTAAAGATTCTATGCCATCACATCACATGGCATTATATAAACACTCCAGCTATGAAGTTGTACTGCAGAGTTTATTGATTCTCTATCCAGAATGAAATGGAAACTGGTCTCAAGTGGTTTCTGCTGTCACTGTCAAAGATCCGTATTGTAATCTCCACCCTTTCTGAGAGTTCAGGGTTGTGACAGCTGGATTTATTTTGCAAGTATTTTATGGAGGAACCCCCCCCCCAGCTTAGTTTAAAAAAAAAAAAAAGCAACTTTTTTTGGTTGTTATTCCAATGGGGGAAAAACAAGATAAAATGGTGAGGAAAGATGGTAAATATTGATGTCTGGCAGTTATCAACTTAACTTGTTACCCCAGCTTCTTCCATTTTGTTGATAAAACATTTTACTTTTAAGGATGTAAAATGTAGTATCTATTAGATAAATAGAGCTAAGGTGCATCAGTGCAACAGATGAACCTAGCAGAGCATTTCTTAGTAGTTTCAGCCTGACTAACTGAGATAGTCTAGATGTATGTGAGTTAAATCCTTGGAACTTTAATTCACAACAGATTAAACTTTATCTCAGTGATTGATTACTATAGTGCACATCCCTACATTTTTTAATGTCAACTTTCCCTGCCTAATTCCAAGTCAGAATTGATTCTTCACATGAAATATTGTCTGCTACAATCCGCTTTATTTCTAGATAGCATACAGATGATTTCAGTTCTTTATAAATTGAAATGCAGGCTATAATATTTGAAATGAATTAATAAAGAGCTCAAAACATCTTGGATTTTGGAAAGTGGCAAGTTGGGGAAAGGAAACTAATAGTAGCTATTTTTCCTAGAAATATAAGGTATAAAGTTTATAGAAAGTAAAGCATTTGCATTGCTCCTGAGCTACGGGCCTTCTTTCCTGCTTAATAATTTGGAGCTAATTTGAGGGAAATAAAGAAAATTTGCGTTGTCTCTCCAAATTTCACATAAATAGCTTGGTTTAGTCTTTGATACTGAATTTGTCTTTCAGAATAATTAACTTTCCCAAAAAAAAGGTGCATTTTCTATGAACTAAGTAGCAAAGTAGCAGTCATCTAAAATGCATTGAATTTAGATACTGTCCAATTCTGACATTAGTGTTATTTTTCTTATAAAAAATAAAATAAAATTTATGTAGTCAGTACTCTCTAGCTGTTGTTCCTGACATTAGGCTGCATTTCATATTGTCCTGATGAAAGAAGGCAAGAGTATTAAGCCATTCCAAGTAAGGGTAATCAGTGACTCCACTGGCCCATGTGACTCCCATGTGACTCATACCAGATTCATTATTTCCATTCTCAGTGAGCTTTGTTTAACTTCAATAATGTCATGAAGCCAAACCTGATTTAATGGATCTTCCAAGGAGTGGGAGGAAGAGAGACTGCTTTTTCCCCAAACTTTGGAAACAGCAAATGGCAATAAACTCAGTTGTCGTTTTTAAGAATACCATGCAAAGTTTGTGTTAACACTTCTGTCTGGGTATTGTAGTTCAAGATAGCATCTACCTGGGAAATCTGCTCTACTGACTTGTTTGGTTTTCATTCAGAGGAAGTCATGAACATTCAAGCTGCATCATGAGCACAGCCTTGATTGTAAGACTTAGCTTGGCCTGAATGTGTATGCAGCTGTCTTAACCTTTTTTATTATACAACCAGGAAACTTCTGGAGAGCTTTGTCCTCTAGAAATATGGCATCAATTGTTTTGATTTGCTTCTGGGGATTATGGGATAATAGTCCAACTTCTTATTAGAATAGCAAAGCAAGTCCTTGGTAAGTGCCCCATATCATTTGCAAGTATTAGAACGGAATGTTTTGCAGAGATTTTACTTATATGGACATTCACCTACTGTCATCCTTTTGAGGCATATCATTGGAGCTCATGTGTCCCTGAGTTGCACGTTCCTTATCTAGCTCTTGTTCCAGCAAAACAACAGTGCAAAGTTGTTACTGCTTTTCCTGGATGTGTTCAGAGACAACATTCCTAGAACCTCTGCTTGTCAGGAGCAAGTCCTGGCAAGCCCTGGATACAGGTAGCTAACAAATGAATTGGCTGCCTCTGTGCTTGCTTGCCTGCCAAAGCTACTGTCTCAGCTGTTTGCTTAAGGATGAACAAAATCATTGAACTTGTAGTCACAAAAGACTACAAAGAGCTTAATTATAGACTATGAAGAATGTTTTTCTTCTCCCACCCTTTTTTATTTCTGAACTTGTAAGGATTAAGTACTGCTTATGTTTTTCTTTTGAAATTGGAAATTTATGGGCCATGTATATGAAGTTGCCCTCATACTGAGTCAATGATAGGTTTGCTTTTTTATTTGTAATGTCCCTTCATCTCCATAACTGAACCAAGAACTTTCTTTAGCCCTCCTTATACCTGAAATCATTCATTTAGGAAGCTCATGTTTGAACCCAGGGCCCCCTTCATGCAAAGCATATGCAGGAACTAGGTGGATGAGTTACTAAACTGATATTTTCCAGTTTATAATAGTCAAACATTTCTCCATTAGTGTGATGAAACAAACCGTAAAAGTAAGGTTTAGGTAACAATATTCTCAAGTAGAAGGTGCAATCATATGCAGCGATGCGAGAATCAAATATGCAGTTTTAAAATAGCTGAATTTTTTAAAGTTTGCCAACTCTTGTGATATTTAGCTGTCTCCTGAGTTGTCACCCAGTTCCATGTGAGAATGCTGTAACTGCCAAGATTTGGTGAATTTCTATCATTTTGGCTATTTTATTTTTTACAAAAATATAATTTGGGGGTCTGAAGAAATCATCATGGATGTGCCACATTGCTGATCCCTTCTTTACAGTCACATTATTGAAATGGTAGCAGTGGTGAAGTTAAAAGGGAAATGAATTAATTAGAGAAAAAGCAAAATCCTTCATATATGATCCTCAATTTCTTAGAGAAAGGGTGAGATCTGAATGATTTAAGTTTTCCCTGAGTTGAGCTTAAATTCTGGTGACTTCACAGACACAGTCTTGTATCTTGCCTAGCAACCTTATGGAAATAGTTTTCCATTGTCTTTTTCAGGGATGCTTTTCAACTTGCTAGTCTTGCCTATAGCCCTGAGATTTCCCAGTGGTCTCCCCACCAAATACTAACTAGATCTGACCTTGCTTAGCTTTTCAAGATCAAATGAGATAGAATGACACAAAAATATACTAGGTTTCTAGACCTTCAGATAATGTGGGAATTGGAAGGGAATGTTGAGTGATGTACCGTAGAGCTCCTTCTAGGCTCTATACTGTTCAATATATTTAAAAATAACTTGAATGAGGTTTTTAAAAGGTTATCAGATTTGCAGACAACCCCAAAATGGGAAGGATAACAAGCATCTAAGAGGACAGTTCTAAGATTTTCAGAAGGTTCTTAACTGTTTGGAAAATAGGCAGAAACCAGGATTATGAATTTCAACAGGGACAAATGTAAAATTCTACATTTGGATAAAAAAAAAACAAAGGTATGAGCTGGGGTGTACCGTACTGGGCAGCAATACATGCAAAAAGGATCTAGGTGTTTTGGTGGATTGCAAGCTGGATATGAACCAACACTATGATGGGAGGGAGGGAG